TAATAATAAACATATTTTTTTCATCTTAATATTTTCAAATTTCATTTTAATAACCTTTAGAGCTATCTAAATGAATATCAAAAGTTATTTTTTGATGAAATTTTATTTTATCTATTATTTTCTCTACTCTAACACAAACTGTAATTAAATCATCAAAATACAGTGAAATAAAAAGTGAGAAATATGAAACAAACAACACTTTTTTCTTTTTTTAATGAATCATTTCACTGGATTAAGTGTTAACTTTTTCACATCTGTTTTCTTTAATTGTACAGTTTAACGGATGTAGTTTGTACCCATTTGAGTATTAATACTTGTCAAAAGCAATAAAATCACAATGGTAGATCATCAGTGAGTATCATAAACACAACTGAAATGTGTGACCCATGTGGTCATTGCCAGGATAAGCCAAAACTATACATTTTTGTTATACGAAAATGTTAACTTCCAAAACACCCTTACCTCCACTCACACTTCAGCTAGAATCCCACATTGACATGGTGAGGGAGCCTGTGAAGGCAAGATCCAGAAAACTGCATAAAAAAGAAGTATGCGAAAATGAGATATAGTAATAGTACACTAGAGGGATCCGCACTACTTCTGGAACAGGTAAACTCTTTGTCTGGAAAACATGAAATTTAAATCCTGTACAGTATAGGCCTACTGGCCATAAAGGCAAAATTCAAACCTCATTAGAAGAACATGAATTTATCCAAGCCCACCAGGCAGATGAGGTCCCACATCTCATCATTGGAATTATAAAGCTGTGGACTTAAATTTACATATGAGGACTGCTTTGTAATTGGCGTCGTTTAGTAAAGTGGTATTATTGGAACACAACCTGAAAGTTACAGAATGTTGCATGTTGAGCCACCAGAATTACAAAGAGAAGACAAGCAATGCAAAAGTGGACAAACCCTTACTCTAACCTGAAGAAGCATAAAATGCAGCAAACCAAACTTGGAATTATAGGACCTGTCACACCTCACTGAATCTGAAGAAACTGATATTACACTGCCTAGGATTACAAACCAAAATCCTAACTTCCAAACCTGAGAGGCAAGGCAACATCTCCTGCTCCCAGAATTACAAGGAAGATGTGGAACAAACTAGGTTCACATGATTTGATGCTCAGTGTGCAGAATTACGAGGAGTTGAGAACCCTCTTCCATGATCACTGAAATGAAGAGAATGACCACTAAGAAGGGCCACACTCAACTCAACCGGATAGTAAAGAGTCATCTCTGAACCAGAATTATGAGGAAGCTCCCATGTAGGCTGGTCTTGCTCCTACCATACATCTGAGAAAACCATCCAGGGTTATTGGTGGGAGGGCACTCAGTTTCCTCCTCTACTCCTTGAGTGGAATAATGAGTTCAAGCATCACTCAGGAGGAATAAACCTCTGTCCACCGCTCCAGTGACTGGAAACTTGGAGTGGTAAGGACTTCCACACTCCACTAGGAGAAAGGAGTCAATTGGTAGCTATTACGGATTTGGAAGTAAGCATACCTGACCATGCAACACCTGCCACAGAGGGGGTATCTAAATGAAAATGACAAATGGGTCGCTGAAAAAGAATATAAATAAACACAAAAGAAATGAAGTCACTCACCTCTCTTATAAACTAGCTGGGGCATGGAGAAAAGCCACAAGAGTAGCCAAAAACCTTCCTAGGAGGCAACCACCAAATTACATAAATAATGAGATATAAATGTATAAGGTGTGGTACACATACCAGCCTGTACAAACAAGCCTGTACATTGAGATATGGCGAATTTGATAAGATGAGACCAAAGAGGTCTCTGTTCCTCCAGTGAAAACTCAGAGTAAGCAATAAACACCAACTGACGAACACAATCTATCAAAGTAACAGGGAATAAGTCATATGACACCTTAGGATCCCAATCGATAAATAAACAGTGGTGTGAAGCCCAAAACCTTTATTGCTTGCAATATAACATCGAAGAGTCTGAACTGGGCATAAAAGACAACCCGGATCCAGGTGTTCATAAAAATGAGAAATGGAGAGAAAATGGATAGGAAAGAAAGTCTTATTCCCTTCTCTAGCCTGCTGAAGTTTGGGAAGAAAAGACCTATCAGGATACATAAGAATATGAGCAGAATGGCAAAGAGTCCTGAGAACATGAATTGCAAACACATCCAAATGCCAATGTCCACTAGCCAACAAGAGAAGAACAGAAGTCTTAAGCATATGGTGATATAGGGAATATGGTGCCAAAGGTTCAAAGGGTGGACGAGATAGGGCATGGAGAACCACCGAGATATCCCAATTATGAACCTGGAAGGAAAGAACTTTGAGGACAAATAACCCAAAAAGATTTCAGAAGCAACGACAAAGCCAGAGACTTAGAAACTTTACATCTTTCAGCAAAATGTAAAGTAGCTGACAAAGCTGCCTTATACAGAAAATGGATGAAGGTGCCAAACCTTTGTCGAATAATCACGTCAGAAATCAAGGAATGTGCAGCACAGTAGGACAAGAAGAATTAGAACTGTGTCCGAGAGACCACAGATGACAAGTAAATAAATTCCATTGATAAACGTCCCATGAAGAATGTCAAATGGACCACGTTAATAAAGATGCCACCCAAAAGGTCAATCCCAACATCATGCAACAGACCACATAA